AGCACGTTGGAATACTACGTTGTCCACCAGTGGGACGTCCACCAGTGTTTTCCAAAGAAATTAAAGCGGATTTTTTGACCAATATTGCCTAGAAATGGATAGAAGATTTTACGGACTGTGATCTTCTGATATTCGAAGATTAGCCTCTCAATTAGTTATTCGGAACAATTTAAAACATCCGTTTTCAACTAATCAGAAAAAAGGAGGTTACAAATGGTATTCTACTATATTCATTTCTGAAGAGGCATCCTGAACTAACGTTTAGGAGACCACAGGGTTTATCAACTGCCAGAATTAAAGGATTCACAGAAGAAGACGTAAATCATTTTTTTGAAATTTTGGAACCTGCCATGGAGAAGGTGAAATTTAATCCCTGTCGAATCTATAATGTAGATGAGACAGGTATAACGTCTGTACCATCAAAGCATACCAGAATAATCACCTTAAAAGGTAAAAAGCAGGCAGGGGCCGTTATTTCTGCAGAAAGAGGATCACTAGTGACTGTAGTTACCTGTATGAATGCGGCTGGTGATTTTGTGCCCCCTATGGTCATATTTCCCCGAAAAAATATGAAGGATTGCTCAACGGCGCTCCACCAAAGACCATAGCTGCCTAGCTATGTGTTAGGCTGGATTCAGAGTCACATTTTCACCAATTGGTTACAACATTTTATTAGCCACGTTAAATTAAGTGAAGCTGATCCAGTTGTATTAATATTGGATGGTCACTTCTCCCATACGCGGAACATTGACTCGATAAATTTGGCGCGCCAAAACCATGTGGTTATTCTTAGTCTGCCGCCGCATTGTACTCACAAAATGCATTCGCTGGACCTTGCTTTCATAGGGCCTCTTACAACCTAGTACTCGCAGGAGATTGAAAATTGGCTAAGGAACAACCCTGGAAGAGTAGTCACTTGCTATCAATTTTGCTAATCACTTGGAAGAGCTTGTGTAAGATGTGCTACAGCTGAAATCGCTATAAATGGTTTTTGAAAGAGCGGTATCTGCCCATTTAATAAATACATTTTTCGAGAACACGACCTTGCCATTCACCATCAAGCGGAAGGTGGCCGAGTTCCAGTTCCAAATCTACCAAAGGCTGAACAAGAAAACCAAGTAACTCCTCCAAAGCATGTAACTCCTCCAAGAAGTATTGATGCGACCAAATGTGTGAAAGATTTATCATGTAAGAACATTTCTAATAATAGAGATTCAACTGCGCGGCCACAACATATTAGCCCTTTACCCACCACTTCATTTTACAAATCTAGTATTAAAGAAAGAAAGTCCAAAGAAGGATCTGCTGCCTTGATTACAGGTACACCATACAAAGATGTTCAATAATAATGGGTGATTTGAATGCTAAAGTTGGGAAAGGAAGGACAGATGATTTGGTAGGAAATTTTGGATTAGGGAATAGGAACGAGTCTGGTGAAAGACTGGTACAATTTTGCCAGGAAAACAGAATGGTAATTACAAATACCTTTTTCGAACTACCCAACAGACGTTTATACACATGGAGATCTCCACAAGACACAGAACATCACATAGTGAGAAACCAAATAGACTATCTACTAATCAATGAAAGATACAGAAACAGCATAATGTCAATTAAGACATACCCTGGTGCAGATATATCATCTAATCACAATCCACTAGTTGCAAGAATGAAAATAAAACTAAAGAAAATTAATAGCACAACCCCCAAAAAAGGAGTAGATATCAACAAATTACGAAAACCAGAAGTAAGAGAACAGATGATACAAGAAATTGATGAAGCAGTAACAAAAATACAACCCATAAAAGACAACACAAAAGTTAACATCAATGAGAATTGGACAGACATTAAAACAGCGTTAATGAAACCAAGCATAAGTCACCTCCATAAAAGTAAAGAATATAAAAAAGAATGGATGACAGATGAGATACTGAACTTAATGGATGAAAGAAGAAAACAGAAAAACAAAAAGAACCAGAAGTATAAAGAGATACAAAAAGAAATTCGTCTAAAAATACGCACAGCTAAAGAAAACTGGTAAGGGGAAAAATGCGAAGAAATCGAACAACTACAAAATAAACACGACAGCTTTAATGCACATCGGAAGATCAGAGAGTTGACGAGGATACAAAGTAACAGACACAACATATTAGTAGACGAGAGTGGAAACATTATTATGAACACAGAACAAAAATTAAGAGTCTGGAAACAGTACATAGAACAACTGTTTAAAGATCAAAGAGACAATGTAGATAACGAATTTATAAACAGTGACACAGGACCAGAAATAACAAGAGATGAAGTGGAATACACGATTAAAGAAATGAGTTCGGGGAAGGCTACAGGCCCAGATGAACTACCAATAGACATAATTAAACTCATCAAAGGCAACAACGTAATAAAGATCGTGGAACTATTTAACAGCATTTACAAATCTGGTATCATACCTAATGAATGGGTAGTAACAACAATAATAGCCATACCCAAAAAGTCTAATGCGAGACAATGCTCGGAACATCGCACCATCAGTCTCATGTGTCATATATTAAAGGTCTTCTTAAAAATCATTCATCGGAGAATATATAAAAAATTTTAAGTTGACATCGGACCCTCTCAATTTGGCTTTAGAGACGGACTAGGAACTAGAGAGGCACTGTTTGCTTTTAATGTTCTAACACAACGATGCTTAGACGTAAATCAGGACATATTTGTGTGTTTCCTAGACTATAACAAAGCATTTGATACAGTAAAATATAGGCCACTGATGCAAATACTGGAAAATAAAAATATTGATACAAGGGACATGCGAGTGATAAGGAATCTATACTACAAACAAGAAGCTACAGTACGAATTAACAGCTCGATATCAGATAGAATACAGATCAAAAGAGGTGTTCGGCAGGGCTGTGTGTTGTCTCCAACCTTGTTCAATGTCTACGCGGAAGAAGTTATTAAAAAAGCTCTTATGAACGAAAAAGCCGGAGTAAAGATCAACGGTCACCCCATTTGCAATATCCGATATGCTGATGATACCGCGCTCATAGCAGAAAATATTGACGACCTACAGAGATTACTAAACAAAGTGGTAGAAGCAAGTGAAGAATTTGGTTTGTCACTGAATACAAATAAGACCAAATTCATGATAATTACAAAGAAACGTATCAATAATATCAACTTACATGTAGGACAGAATCTCATTGAACGAGTACAAAATTACAATTACCTCGGAACAAATATTAACGAGTCAAACGAATACACCAGAGAAATAAGAATAAGAATAGAGAAAGCCCGCAGTGCCTTTAACAATATGAAACAAATGTTGTGTAGCCGAAACCTAAGCCTAAAGCTGAAAATACGAATGCTTAAATGTTATGTTTTCTCGGTCCTGTTATATGGGGTGGAGGCGTGGACACTAAATAAGCAATGTATGGGTAAGCTGGAGGCATTTGAGATGTGGGCGTAGCGAAGAATGTTAAAAATCTCCTGGAAGGATAAGATAACTAACCAAGTTGTATTAGACAGGATGAACAAACAAAAGGAGGTCGTATTGAGTGTTAAAATGAGGAAACTACAATACCCGGGACATATTACACGTGGGAATAAATATCAACTGTTACAACTAATTATGCAAGGAAAGATTGAAGGTAGGCGCAGCATAGGTAGGAGAAGAATGTCATGGTTGAGAAACCTCAGGTAGTGGTTTGCTTGCACTTCCAAACAATTGTTCCGAGCGGCAGCCTCCAGGGTCAAAATTGCCATGATGATAGGCAACCTTCGTAGCGGAGATGGCACGTGAAGAAGAAGAAGATACAAAGATGCCTTAGAAAGTAGTGTTTGTCAGAACATAAGAGAAATAAAGGTATTTCAAAGGGAACTCCAAAATTAAAAATAGACAAATGTGAGCCTTTTAAGAAAACAAATAAAAATAAACGAAAATCTATTGCTAAGAAGACAATGACAACCAATGTTAAAAATAATAGTGCTAAGAAAGAGTAAGCTTGTAGTTCATCTGAAGAAGATGAAGAATTCATTTTAGATGATGATTCTGACATAGAGTGTGACATTGGGGAAGAGGAAGCAGAATGTATGTTTTGTACTGGACTCTTCTCTGAAGATTCAGTGCTCAAAGTGGGTTCACACCGACTGCACCAATGTAGACAAAAAAGACACATATATTTGTAATTTCTGCCTCGATGACTAATTTTATCCTGTTATCGTAATATCCGGTATTAGGAACAGTTTTTTTGTCAGTCTAAATTTACCGTTTTTTTTATAAAAATTAAAATTTTATTACATAACTGTATTTACTTCGTAGAAATGTATTATTTTCGTTCAATAAATGATTCTCTATAGTCTATTACTTGTTTTGCTCTAAAATATTCATAAATTAAATGACGTATTAAAACTAATATTATGATTCAAAAAAGTATCCGATATTAGGGCACTTTACTCTATTCTGTAAAACTATGCCAGCATTGGCCTGAGATATCTGTATTGAGACTATATCAAAACTGTCATCGCTGTCATTTCATATTAATTGCTGTGAAATACAATCCATCCTTTCAAAGCACAACTACTGAAATTTGGGCTTATTATTGTTTGTGACTTACATTTAAAGGTTTTATAAAAACAGTAAATTTTTATTATATTTCAATTTTATTCTCATACTTCTTATAATACATCTTATATAACTCAACATTCCCTATCATACAAATCGTGATATTTCTATAAAATAATAAATACTTTGCTCTTTTATAATATGACATAAAAAACAGGATTGTAAATATAAATTTACTTCGATCTAATACTAAATTTCCTGTACTATAGACTAAAGTAGAAGCGGCTAGTTGAGTTGGTTTTACCATGCAACTTGTGTGCAACTGTTGTATCGCCGCACGTGCTGCGCGCGCATCCTGCCGCGACTCCCAGATAGGCAGGCTATTTTAGAATTATTCTTTGTATCCACGAAATACTGTTGGTTCTTAGTAGTTGGTATGGTAGTCTCGGCGTACCTGTTTGTGGGTACAAGCGTACGTCTCTCGCGTTCTAGTAACTAGCGCTTGGTACGGAACTATTACACAAGTTTAATAGCATTACAGCTGACGTATTATTACATACAATAACAATTCCGTTGGAACATTTTTACAAACGACATACTTTTAGAAAGTGTACAATAATTATAACTTTTTTATTTAGTTGCTTCATTTTTTTGTGGTGTGCAGCAATCTGTGACAATACTTCTCGACTGTGGTCCAAGCCTGTTGTTGCAAAATTTATGTTTTAAGTGTGTAGTTTTTTTTTCGTGAAGGAACTCTCAAGCGTTTCCAGTTGGTGTTGAATCTCAAGTGAACTTCAGTTGTTATTGTGGATTAAAACAAGAATGTCTACATGAGGTGTTTGTTTCTTTAAAAAGTGGAAAGAGTGTTGTGTCTGAACTAAAAATATGAGACCGTTCAGTAATATGTAATACTTCTACGATTTTTTGAAAATATGGTAAGTTAAAAATTTTTAAAAGCCGTGGAGTCTGTGTTTTGCATCCCTAGGGAAATATTCTGATGAACCATTAGTAGGGCTTTATTAATGTTGCGGCTGATCGCCTGATGGAAAAAGTTGTGTACTTGATTGATTTCTGTTTTCTTGTACTTCTTTCTTTAAATCTAACAAAAGTTATTCTAATCATTGCGAGCACATTGTTTAATATTTACCTCCAAACCTATTACTTTTTTGTCGGTGTAAAGATAATGTTACCTATTTTGAACTTAAAGGGATGAAAATTTTACAAACTATTTCCAAGTTTTTATGCGCCATTTGTTTTAATCACCATGAAAGTTCATACAGTTGAAAAACAATTATAGAGAAAAGTAATTCATTACTTTAATCGTTAGTAGCGTGAGTACGTGACAAAAGCAAAACTTTCTGGATTATCCAAAGCAGAACTTAAATTGTTATAATAGTAATAATATAGAGCTTTTTAACAAATTTTAAACCATTTCTACCTATTGTTTAATTTGAGTTCAACTTTACTCTTGTAAGTTACTTGAAATAAAGAACTTGTTTGGGAGAGCGTATTTTGGATGTGTCTACGAACAATCGGGACGTTAAAATAGCTTTTTTTTTATTCTAATTCAAAAACGAATTCAAGTTTTTTTTTGGAAAATAAATATAAATACTACGTAACTGAAGAAAATAAGTTTTATTCCCTTGTTCATAAAAACTGCAATTATTACTTTGGCTGCGTGTAGTTTTTAGAATGATTTCGTGAGTAATATTTAATAACTAATTCTGTTACTTTCAGTAGCTGGTATTTAACTGTTCTAATGTATGCAATAAACTGATTATAGTTATCCAGAATAACTTGTTGATATTTTGCCTTCTTAAATCTCTCCACCAAACCCTTTATTTTTTTAAGATCTTCTTTTTCTAAAATTTTTCATCTATTTCTTTTACTGTAACAACCTGTTATGTTTGTATCCTTATAACTTGTTACTGTCTTATGTTTTTTCGAAACCAATGACCAACGGGGAGACCAATTAATAATTTATCCTTATTTCCTTAGCTATAAAAATGCCAAGATTCGGTTCGTTTGTGCAAACGATGTCATATTACTTAATTCCCGTTGTTTTATTTGCTTAACACATACATAAGACTTTCTATATATTTGCACATTTCATGACTGCCATAAATTGAAGTGTGCAACAGTCTGTTTGCTCCGTCCTTCAGTTCCTTCACTCTTCTCGGAACAGTTGAGTAGGTCTGCAAGCCAACCATTCCGTTTTAATTTTTATGACAAAACGTACTTTTAGTCCCAAAGAAGTCCAAAATCTTTCCTTGTATAATCCATTAAGTATAGCAATTTAACAAAAAAAACCTGTAAAAGCTTGTGACGTCTAAAACATATTACCAATGTCATATTCTGGCTCCAGCGTATAGATGTTCATCTGCCGTTTTCATTGGTTATATGCAGTCGGCCTTCCCCTGATCTCCTGAATGTAGTCTTCACATCCTCACTCTACACAAGCCACGAACGTTGTTTACAAATAAGGTTCGTTTTCTGTTTCCCTCAGAATATGGTCAAGTTCTGAGAGTTGCGTTGTTTTATCTAGCGCAGTAGTGATCGCTTAGTTCCATGTCGGCGTACTATTTCTTGGTTTCTAAGGTTAACCGGCCATGGGTTTTGGAAAAGATTTCGTAACATCCTCATTTCAAAAGCGTTTATGTGACTCTAATCAGGAAGTCAGATATATGTATTTTACGAATACCTTCTATCTTTTATACTTTTTTTACGACTTTTGCTCTAGGGGATGATGGGGAAGTTTTTGGGAGTTGGTCAATGTACCAATCAAAAGCATTTAATTAACAATAAAATATGCCGCCAAGATGGGCCCTACAGTTTTTTTAATTGCCGAAACAGCTATGGCTATGTTCTTTACTGTAAAGATAGAATAGCCATTGTTTCTCGGAAACGGTTGTAGCAATAAATTGTTTCTTTGCGCGAAAAAATTCAGCAATCATTTCCTTGCGGCTCGCTTTTTGGAGATGTCTTTTCAGACTTTTGGAGATTGGTTAATATACCAATTAACAGCAATTTATTAGCAATCAAATATGTCCTGTAACCCTGTACCGCTTTTTTTGTAGAGATATAGCTATGCAAGCTTTACCGTAACGTTAGCGTAACCATTATTTCTATTATATATATTCTATATCTAGAAAAGATGTAGAACTACCGACTAAAGCCGACAAGAATTTAATATTGCATTTAATTTACAATCTTTTCAAGAGATAAATTTTTGTTAAATCTTTTTGGAAAATTTCCTACTATGCTTTTACTTTGTTTGATAAATAAAGTATTGGTATTATATAAATAAAAGAGTAGGTACAGAGTTGTAAGGCAGGTATTGTGTTGTATAAAAAGAAATTTGATTTAGACTAGGACGAGAGGATGTATGTATAGAATGAGAACTGCACTAATTAGAAGTTTCCCGATTGTTGTGCATCGAATTGAATTAAATCACGATGTAGGATTTTGCGAACTAGCTTCTTATATGTTATTAGAAAGGTATATGAGTCTCTCTCCTTTGTAGATTGTATTTTTTACTTTATTTAACGGAATAAATTCAGCATTCACCCGATAGGGCCAATTCTAAACTATACTTGCCAGTCTGAATCTTTTGTTTGTCTCCAATTGTACATCTTAATTTCATTAATTCCCGGATTTGTTTGTTCCGGATTTTTTCTTTCTTTGTGTTCTGACAAAGGAACTATACCAGTTGGTATCAAGTTTAAAGTCTGTAAAAAATTACGTCATTTAATTACAAAGTATCCAAATTAAGTACAGAGTGTATCACGAAATTTAAACTAAAGCTTCCATAATATACTTTATCATATATTTAGTTAGTTACACCCCCTATAGAAATTATTTTTTCATTTTAATAAAGAAAGGGCAGACTTTTAATTGACAGCAGTGGTGTAATTTAGGGAATAAACAGAATAAATAAAGATATTTCCTTTTTATTTTAATTTTAACCACATTTTAATCTTAATCACTTTTATTAATTAGAACTATTCATTCTGTTTAGGTGACTCTTGTAGCCTCTTAAGAACGTGTTTGCTCGTTGTGGGTGGTGGCACTGGTTGTTGGTCCTGGAGGTGGCTTGTTGGTGTTTGCTGGTTCTAACTCTCTGTTTATTATGTTTAATATTACCCGATTGGGTATGTGTTGCGTCCATGATATTCTGCGGTAAAGCCACGTTTCAAACGCTTCTAGCCGCCTAGCTGCCTTGGTAATTGACGTCCAATCTGCCTGGAACTGAAAACCTTTATTTTTTTCGTTTCTTCATCTGAATTTTGTCTTACTCGATATACAGGCCAGGCGGGTTCTTGTTCAGAAGCTGTTTGCGGCAGCAAGTTTAGATCATACTCCACAGTAGTTGAGTCCGAGGGAAGTACATCGTTTCCTTTTTACCATTATGTCTAAAAGTTGTTCCTCTATCCTTCACGGACAGACGCGCCTCTAGGAGATCTAGGCTCCCACGAGGATTGTTGGCACTGACAATAGTTTCTACTTCAAATAATTATTTGCTGTTTGTTCATCATAATAGATTTTGTATTGTGTTTTCTTATTTGAAATGCACTTCTCTCAGAGGTGGATTTCATGGTGAGTATTGAGGGTTAAATATATTATACGCCATCAGTGCTGACGGCAAAAAATTTTGTAAAGTTGGGTAATTTATACAAAGAGAAAAATTCCTACACAACTTCGTTAGACCACTCCATAGTAAAATTACCACGACACGCGGTCGTGGTAAAAGGGTTGGACATGCGGTGCATCAGCTTCCGATTGTTTTGAACCGAGTCGATTTACCGACAAACAACGGGGTAGCAACATGCCGGCTATAAATAGACAGTTTTGCCCTATCACAGGGATCGTAAACCACCAGTATTGTGAAGAAATACCCTATTCCACGTTGTGTTGATTCCCGTCTTTATATTCTGTCTTTTCTATTACGTATTTTCAATTTCTTTTCGCCGATGAAGAACGCCACTCCACGTTCTGTGAGATCGCTTCTTTATATTCTGCCAGTCTATCGACTTGTTCCTAGCATTCTCAAATTCTCTAGCCTAAAAAATATTTTATCTATTACTATTTATATCTATATCTGGTATACTATTAAGTGCATTTTTTATAATGTTACCAATCATTACATTGCTCAGGTTTTCTCGCAGTTTATAGTGCACCATGTGAAGTGTGTACCATGAAACTACTATACTTTATTTGTTTGCAAATCGCAGCCCATTATAAATGCAACTCTTCACTAATCTGCAAATAGCAGTAAATTGGCCAAACTGAAATCACTCAAAATGATATCCTCTTTTGTTGAAATGTAATTTTAGATTACTTTTTAAAGAGCCCACCCTGTTCACATACAAAAAACAATACAAACCATGGACACAGAAGAGAACTGAGAGTAAGAGCACTGAGATGATACGTGTTTTCGATACTGCAATATGGACTTGAAAGCTGGACATTGAAGCAAGAACGCATAAATAAGTTGCAGTCCTTTGAAATGTGGTGTTACAGGAGGATGCTTAGAATAGCATGAATACAGAAGAAAACTAGCACGGAAGTATTGCGAGAAATTGGCAAAGAATGCGAAATAATAAACACAATAAAAATAAGAAAGTTACAGTATCTGGGACATGTAATGAAGGGACAGCGATATGAACTGCTAAGGCTGGTACAGGGAAAGATAAGAGGAAGAAGGAGCATAGGAAGAAGGAGAGTGTCATGGTTGAAGAATTCATGGGACTGGTTTAAATGCAGTTATATAGAACTTTTTAGAGCAGCAGTAGATAAGGTAAAGATAGTGGTGATGATATCCAACCTCCGATTGGGATACGGCACTTAAAGAAGAAGAATAAAAGAGAGTAAATCAGTCTTTTATAGTATTGTATAATGATAGACACAACTGCGGAAATGTCCTTGTCTTTAATTT